ATGTTATGATTACCTATTTCTAGTGTGTACAAAGTTTGTCATCATCAAAAAAGGGGAATTTGTTAAGTATTGAGATGATTTTGATGATTAACAAAGTTTGTTTAGATGCTATGTTCGAAGAGCCAGGTCCTCAAGGAAGCTTCTTAAATTTTCTAAAAACCAGCTCCTCGGGGTAAATGACCATCTCCTCTGATTCTGTGCAAAACAATAACTTTATCTCAAAGTTACCCAGTCCGAGTTTGGTGGAAGAAGGTTGCTACATGTGATAAGGGTTGTTGCCCAAGAAGATACGAATACTAGAGTAAGAGACAAGAGTCCCAAAACTTGTGGAGTCCTTGGAACAGTAGGAGTCCTAGAAGATCTTGAAGTCCAGGCATTTAAATATTTGGACTTTTGAGATTATCCTTTTCCACATCAACTGAAGAACTTAATTTTGTTAACTCTAGCAAGTACTAATGTTGTGTTATTCTTAAGTCAGTCTAGATAATGTGTTTTAGGAAATTGAGTTGTAGTTAGAGTGTCACAAATAATTAGTGAGTTAGAGTGAGTATTTGCTTTACAAGTTAGAGTAACTTGTAAATCAAAGAGTCGTAGTAGGAGTACTGGAGAGTATTAAATTACAGTATTGTAATTGATACATTTTGGCTCATTGTTGTAGTGGAGTTGAAGTTGAAAATCCTACACAGTAGGTCATGATTTTTGCACCTTTTAAGCTGGGTGATTTTCCACGTAAAAATCATTTGGTTTACTTTACTGCTTATTTACTTCACGTTTAAGGAACACGTTAAAGAACCAAGTTCTTTAGTAATTCAAACAGGCACTCAAACTAATAGTTAGTATTAGAGCAGGTTCTCCCACACACATGGCTAACACCTAGAGAGATCTTGGAAGCAAGATGAGTGCTCCCCCCAGAATTAATGAAGGACAATCAACTACCAGACCACCCCTGTTCAATGGAAAATATCATAATTAGTGGAAAGCAAGAATGGAAGACTTCCTAACAGATGAAGACTATGACATAGGACTCACTGGTGATAGATCCTAAGGAATCTGAACCTCAATCTGAAGAGGAATCCGAATACCACAAGGAAATTGATAGTGATCATGAGGAACAAGAAGAAGAAAGAACTACACTGAGTACTAACCAGACGGATGAAGCTATACCTACTGAATCTGTTCCTTTAGGTCATTCCTTGGGTGAATCCTCTCCGGGTATGTAGATCAGACCATGGAAACATCTCAGTTCACATCCTCTTGGGAACATCATCTCTATTCCAAATGAAGGAGCGCAAACCAAGTCATCTCTGAGAAATCTATGTGCAATTACATCATTTCTCTCAAGTTGAACGTAAGATAATCAAAGAAGATCTAAAGGATCTAGATTGGATTATAGTTACACAAGAGGAGCTAAATCAGTTAGAAAGAAGCAAGGTCTGGCACCTGGTAAAAAGACCCGAGAACAGAAATATCAAATGTACCAGTTGGGCGTTCAAAAACAAGCTGAATGAACAAGGAAATATCACAAGGAACAAGGCCGGACTGGTGGTTTAGGGATACAATCAAGAGGGGGGAATTGACTATGATGAGACATTTACACCTGTAGCTATAATGGAAGCTATAAGAATGCTAATAGCCTTTAATGCACACATGGAGTTCACATTGTATCAGATGGCTATAAAGAGTGCATTCTTGAATGGTTATCTGAAAGAAGAAGTGTTTGTCAAACAACCTCACGGGTTTGAAAGTGGAGAATTTCATGACTATGTGTTCAAGTTAGATAAAGCCTTGTATGGACTGAAACAGGCTCCAAGAACTTGGTATGAAAGACTCTCAAAATTCCTCTTAACCAACAACTTTGTAAGAAAGGTGGACAACACTCTGTTTCTAAGGAGCAAAGGCAAGAATGTTCTGATTGTGCAAGTGTATATGGATGACATTATTTTTAGGGCTACTAATGAAGCAATGTGCAAGGAATTTGCTGAGATGATGGGGAGTGAGTCTGAAATGAGCATGATGGGTGAACTAACTTCTTCCTAGGGTTGCAAATCAAGCAAACATCTACTAGAACCATGATACATCAGTAGAAATACATCAAGGAACTACTGAAGAAATTTAACATGGACTCCTCTAAGTCCATTGACACTCCCATTGCCATTGCAACAAAGCTGGACCTTGATGAAGAAGGGAAAAAATGTTGAACTGAAACTATATAAAGGAATTATTGGTTTACTGTTGTACCTCACAACAAACAGGCCTGATATTGTATTTAGTGTGGGACTGTGTGTAAGATTTTAGGCAAATGCCAAGGAATCTCACCTAAAGGATGTTAAGAGGATACTAAGGCCTCATTTGTTTGCACTTAATGGAGCTCTAAATCTTAATCATTCGGATTTCAGATATTAAGTGTGTTTGTTTTTAAACTCCGAATCTTAATTATTCAGATTTTAATTATTAAATGTGTTTATTTTTTCACTTCACAACCATTTAATGTGTGTGAATAGGTCTGTATGATTAAGATCTATAACAGAGACTTAATTTCATTAAGAAGCTCTCATCCATATCCATTATTAACTGCTGCCACCGCCTACAATTATCAACTACTACCACAGCATCACCACCACCATACTCAACCACCACCACCACCACACCACCACCACACCACCACCATCCTCAATCATAGCCTCCACCATTATCTATTATCACCACCCACCATCCCCACCACTCCCACCACCATCATTCTCAATCACAATCAACATTCATCCACCTCAACTACCACAACTAACCACCTCATCACCAATAACAACCATAGCCTACACTGCCTAGCATTATAACCTACCACCACCCACTACCACCTTTCTCAATAACAATTACTACCACCACCCGCTATTATTAACTATCACCACCAACCACCACCATCCTCAATCATATTCTCCACCACTACCAGTCACAACTAGCTACTATCTTGAACTACCACCATCAACCAAAACTACCACTAATCACCGCCTCTAGTCAGCATTCATCCATTAGCCAACACCACCACCAACTATCATATTTTAAAAAACTATATATTATTTTGATAGAATATTTGATTAATTAGTATTTCATTTAAATTTTATGTTTATTAATTTTCAAATAAAGATAAATTTTATACATTTAGATGTTAAAAATAAAACAATCTTAATCATATAGTATTCAGATCTTAATACACATCTTTAGATTTAGATGTCTTAATATTAATACACATCTTGATATTCAGATGTATATTTAGATTCAGACGTCTTAATCTTAAGAAAAACAAATGATGCCTAAGATATCTCAAGAGGACTCCTGATCTATGCCTATTGTATCTCAGGGGGTATAACTTTAATCTAGTTAGTTATGTTGATGCTGACTATGCAGGTTTTCATGTTGACATGAAAAGCACTTCAGGAACAACTCATTTTCTAGGTTCTTGTCTGGTGTCTTGGGGAACAAAGAAGCAAAACTTTGTGGCCTTATCCACAACTGAGGCTGAATATATGGCAGCATCATCCTACTATGCTCAGTTGCTATGGATAAGACAACAACTAAGAGACTATGATATTTTTGTTGATTGTATTCCCATTTTCTAAGACAATATTAGTGCTATAAGCATTGTTAAAAATCCTTTTCAGCACAAGAGAACCAAACACATTGATATTAGACACCACTTTCTCAGAGACAGTGTTGAAAAAGAGAATATCTCAATTAACTTTTTAAAAACTGAAGATCAAATTGCTAATGTTTTTACTAAACCTCTCAGTAGGGATCACCTTGAAAGGAACAAACTAGAACTAGGTCTAATTAATATTTCCAACCAGTTAAACCCCAATGATTAGCTACAAAATGTATAATTAGATGTAAATAGTCAAGTACAATGTGTTTGATTCAAACTCGTACTTCCATTAAGCACACACACCTAATTATACTAATGTGAAGTGTTAAAGATTTATTGTAGAAATAAGTAAGGAGTTACTAAGGAGTTGGTTCATGGACTCAGGTACGTGTCATGTTGTATTAATTCACTATGACTTAATATCCTAAATTATTGCTACGCTCAGATTTATAATCCTATTAGCATCACTTCTAGTTGTCATCTAGTCAAAAAACCGGGGGGGGCAAAGTATTTGGGGGGGGGGGGGGGAATCCTAGAGCAAGTAGAGTTTAATTATTCCTGAAACCTAATAAGAGTCCTGTTAGAACTCAAATTCGGTCACCCTCTCTCTTCCAGTAAAATTAGGAGTAATGTCTTTAAAAGCCCCTTATGATCAGCTTCTCAGACCTTACTGTTTCTATCAAACCCTAAGCAAGAACCAATAACTAATTCTCTCTTCTCCCTTCATTGATTCTCTTCTCCAATCACCATGCCTAAATCCATCCAAACCCCATATAAATTTAAATCATCATCCAAGAACATGAAGCGCAAATCAAAGAAAAGTATCAAACCATCAAGTGAACCAGCACCAACCCTTCCTCCTTCTCCATTGATATCCTCCACTTTACCTACACCATCATCACATGCTACTGTTGCTCTTACCATTCCCACCTCCACTGCACCTTCACTTCCAAAACCAACTACCCATGCATCTGTGCCTACTACAAAAAATAGCTCTAATTCAACCAAGGTCAAGGCTAGTCCAAAAAAATCTATAAAGAAAGTCAAGGTAGTTCTTGATGCTACTACTCAAGTAGACAGTGTTAAATGAAGCTATGGTTTATGGAAAATCGGTGCCAATCATGGCAAGTCAAATACAACCCCCTCCTTCAAAATTAGATGTTCTGGTATCCGCTATAGATATTGTACCTTATACACTCTTCCACCCATAAGTGATAAAACATAAGTGGAGGAACTTATTGTAGAAAAAAGTGCAAGAAATCTGGAGAAAGTTGTAGATGCCACTACTATGGTGCCTGTGGTTGAGAGGGAAAGGAGTAAAGAACCAGTGCAAAAGGAGGCAACTGATGGTCTTTCATTCAGTTAGATGGAGGATGAGGATGATAATAGGGGTGAAAAGGAAGGAGGAGTTGTGGGTAGTCATGAGGAACATACTAATCAAGACATAGCTAATGAGGAAGAAAAGAGTAAGAATGAGGGATATTCTGGTGAAGAGAAGGAGAGTGAGATAGAAGATATGGTAGGTGAACAAGTGGATGATTCTATAGAAGAAGAGGATAACTCTAAGAGTGAAGATGAGGATCAAGAAAAGGCAAGTGAGAGTGAATGCATGGATGAAGAAAATGAGGAAGAGAATGAGAATATGAGTGAAGAATCTGAAGGCTCTATGACCATTGGAAACACTGTCATAGCCCTTTCAGAAGAAGCAAGTAGAGAGAAAAGGACTAAAGAGCCTGGGCCCTTGTTAACTCCTTTCACTGGAGATGAGGAGGCCAGTAGTAATAAAGATGACTTGCCCTTGTCTGAGGTAGGGAAGAAACCCAAGAAGACTCATGTGAAAGCAACAAAGTCTATAGTCCCAATAAGGAAAGAAATGGCTATTCCTGCCAAAACTCATCTTGCAATGAGTAAAATAAAGGTCGTTGATGAACAAATCATTAAAGAGTCCAGAGGTGCCAAGAAGCCAATGAAGCAAGTTTCAATTGTAAAACATGTGATTGAGTTGGATAGAGAAGATAAGTCTGAGTCTGGTTTGCTAGAAAAGTCCTCTACACAAAATAGAAAGGTTGCCAAAGCTACAAAAACTACAACCCCATCTGTAAGGGGCAAATAGAGGAAAGACGGGAATGATTGTTCCAGATGTTGTTGATAGACTCATAGAGTTCAGGAACATAAAAAGTTCTTAATGGGAAGATTCTTAAAAATATTGATGAAAAAGAGATGACTCAACTGGCTGAAAAGCTTGAGCTATAGGGATAGAAGCACATGTTTGTCCTCCCCCCTCCTATATGTTCCTGTTGTGGTAGATGATATGCCATAGAAATGCGGCACTATTGACACTAATTACCTAGATTTAGCTCATCTTTTAACGCTTTATAAGTCATTTCTTATGTAGTTGTGGTGTTTTGTAGGAATCTATACTTTAAGAGCTAAGAACATGAAAAAGAGGACAAATACCCAGAAGAGGTAGAAATACGGCAGATCTGCGATTGCAAACACAAGGTGCAGACCGTAGACCCATCGCAAAGTGAATCAGAGAACCTCAGTATCTGAAGGTCAACATGCGGTCCATTCTGCGGTCACATAACGCTTATGTGAACCGCATAGTGATCGCACAAATACAAAATGATTTCAAGTAAAGATCATTGTGTGGCATGATATGCGGTCGCAGAATCTGTATGTGATTTGCATAACTGAAATGCGATGAACAACTGGAAAAGCTAGTGATTAGATATGCGATGTAAATGTGAGATTGCAGACCGTGAATGCCTTATGCTACCCATTCTGCAGTCACAGACTTTATCTGCAGGGTCATTTTTGTCACTTTTGTCCACGACTTTTGGATCATTATAAATAGAATAACTAGGATTTTCTGTGGGCAGCTTGTCAAAAATGGGGGTAGAAATAAAGAACATTGAATACACCTTTAGTTTGGAAACTTTTGAAGACAGAATCCAAGACTTGTCCTCTTTGTAAGCTTTATGTTTTTATACATCACATTATCTTTGTATTCTAGTATGAGTAGTTAACTTTATATACTAAGGTTGTGAACCCTAAATGTGTGTAATGTTATTGGGTGTTTGATGAATTTATATAATGGTTTGTCGATTTTTATTCATTTATCATGCTTCATGTATGGTTAATGATTGCAAACATTAAATAATGCCATTTTACTCTATATTTACTTGGAAAAGAGGTGTAGAATTTGGTAGAATTGAATAGCAAAAACTCAAAGCTTTAAACTTTATGTAATGGAATTGCTTAGGGATAAGTGGATTCTACTTGGCTGAAAATTGGGTGTTCTTAATTGTAACTCTTTTGTATTTGAAAAAATTATACAGAGGAAATACTACCTAATTATTGAAAAATATTGGGTAGTCTTTTAGAAATCATTACAAATCAAAACACTCTCCATTAGAAATATATCATGTCAACATGAATAGCATTACATTCCATTGATGGGGACACAATCTTGCTTCCTTAATCAAATTAATTAATTCCCTTTACGAAATAGTTTATCTTGATAATTCACAGTCATAAAACTGTTTTGAGCTTATAGAGTAGACCTGTGCAAATTAAGTTTCATTACTCAAGTAATATATTCACACCTATTCCTTGTGGAATTCGACCCCAACCTAGTTGGTTTATTATATTTGATATCGATCGCCTTACATCATTTAATTAGGTGTAATTTGAGCGCATCAAATTTTGGCGCCATTGCCGGGGAATATGATTTTAAAATTACTAATTAGTGTGTGCTTTACTTTACTGCTTCTTCTATTCCATTACACTTTGCCTATTTTGCTTGGTGTCATTAGGTAGACATGGGCGAACCGGACGAAGAGAATGTGTTTGCGGACATAGATGAATATATTGAGGATACAAACACCATTGTCCCTCCTCGAGTTGACGCTGCCTCCTTCAAAGTGGAACATAATCTAATCCTAATGCTAAAGGCAGAGGGGTTCTTCCAAAATTCCACTGATGATGATCCTACACAACATCTCAAAATTCTTCTGGGTGTATATGCCATGAATATGCAGAATAATATCTCGGATGATGCCCTAAGGTTGAGGGTGTTCAAGAAATCTTCAACTAGGGAGGCAAGACAGTGGATCCAAATTATACCTCCTAATTACATCTACACTTGGCCCGAACTTGTCCGAGCTTTTCTAGCAAAAGGGTTCCCACAAAATAAAAATTTCGAGCTTCAGGATAAAATCTTCTTCTTCAAGCAATTACTGGGAGAGCATCTACATGAGGCATGAGATAGATTCAAGCTATATTTAGTGAGGTTGCCGAATCATGGCTTTCCGGATAATATTTTGTTGGAAAAGTTTTACATGGGCTTGGATCCTATGAATCAATCCAGAGCCAAAAATGATGCAAATGGATCATTTATGGATAAAACATTTGCAAGGGTCAGACAAATCCTCGACAAAATGTCCGAACATAACCAAGCTTGGCACTCGGAAGACACCACGTGTGGAATTGCATATGGCACTCCTTCCATGACCAACTTGATTAAAGATAACCAAGAAAGAGATCAAGTAGTTGCCGGACTTGCTACCAATATCAATGTGTTGACAAAAATGCTCCCTAAAAGCGAAACAAAGAAAGTGAATGTTGCGGAAGATGTGCAACCAATATCAAATGAGCACTATGAAGAAGTAAATTATGTCAACAATTCACAAGGAGGATATCAAAGACCACCCTACCAAGGTTCCGTAGAAACCCCACTATTGGAGATCCAACCGGAAGGGCAGGGTAACCAACAATAGCGAAACGAACAAGGTAGTTCAAAGCAATGAAATTGGATTAATAATAACAAAACTTCTCAAATCGGAGTTCCAACTCCTATTTCCCCCAAAGGGGCAATATTCTAACTCTCCACATTAGAAGGAGAGTTCTTCAAGTGACTCAAAGTGGGAAAGCATACTTGAAAGAGTATTGCAAAATCAAGAGAGATCCGACACTTCAATAAATAATATGATCGAGCTTGTTGTTTCTCACACCGCATCTATTCAAAAGTTGGAGATGCAAATGATAGATTTATCAAGAGAAGATAATCCGACACAAAAAGGCATTCTCCCAAGTGATACTATTGAAAACCAAAAAGGTAGTGGGCGTGACCCAACTTCTTATTGCATGGCCATTAACCTAGAAGTGGGAAAATACTTCAAGATGAGAATGAACAAGTTGTCGAAGAGGAAGATTCTGAACAAGAAGCTGAGGTACATGTTGAGATGCGAAATGTTGTTGAAAATAAAAGACTCCCGACAAAAGTGTACGCTCAAGTTGTGAGTCATGAAGAGGTTAAGAAAAAAGGTAATAGAGGCACCAAAACCTCTAACACCAATTCCTAGACCTCCCCTCCTTTCCTTCAAAGACTAGCTGGAAGGGTTGATGATAACAAACTCGAGAAGTTCTATGACATCCTAAAGCAATTATCGGTGAACATTCCATTTGTGGAAGCATTCCAAGAGATGCCGAGTTTTGCTAAATAATTGAAGGACATGATCACTAAAAAGATAACCGCCAATAATGAAGTGGTGAATGTCACCCACCGAGTTAGCTCCATCATTGCAACAACCGCCATCTAAAAGAAAGAGGACCCGAGAGCGTTCACCATTCCACTATTGGATTGCGTGACATCGCATGAGACCTTTGTAATAATGGGGCTAGCATCAAATTAATACCTCTCGCCATCTTCAAGCAAGCTGGATTGGGAATGCCTAGGCCTACAAGTATGAGGTTATAAATCGCTGACTGTTTAAGAAAACGACTGGTGGGAATAGTTGATGATGTGCTTTTGAAAGTGGGGAAGTTTCTCCTCCCCGCCGACTTTGTTATTCTCGATTGTGCTATTGATAAAGAGATCTCCATCGTCTTGGGGAGACCATTTATTTCTACTGGGAGAGCACGCATGGACTCAAAATGAAATGAGATTAAGTTCCGGGTTAATAATGAAAAAGTTACCTTTCAAGCAAGTAAGGATATGAAACTGCCACATGCATACAAAACTATCTCAGTCATTGATGTTGTTGATGAGGTAGAAGATGACGTAAAGGTGAAAATGGAAGAAGAATGCCTTGGTGAGGCTTGGAAGCTATTTTGGTAAATTTTGATGGCGAGGACGTGGAAGGATACATGGAATCAGTGAAGGCATTGGAAGGGCTTGGTTGCTACAACTATTCACCAAAGAAGCTTTCTCTTAATTTAGATAATAGAGTCATCTCCTGCCACTAAGCCTTCAATTATTGAGCCACCACAACTTGATCGCAAGCCACTCCCACCACACTTAAGGTATAAATTTCTTGGCCCTAATGAAACTCTACCCGGAATCATTTCTTATTTGTTAAATGATGTGCATGTTGAACACTTATTTCACCTTTAGAGCGCACAGGCAAGCCATTGGTTGGACTATAGCAAATATTCGAGGGATTCCCACCGGAATTTGTGAGCACAAGATACAATTGGAGGAACAAATCAAACCTAGAATGGAACATCAAAGGAGGTTAAATCCTTAGTCAGACGCCATTTGGGCTATGCAATGGCCCGGCTACATTGCAACGATGTATGATGTCAATATTCTGGGACACGGTGGAGGATTTATTAGAGGTATTCATGGATGACTTATCTATAGTTCATGATTCATTAGATCATTGCCTCGGCAATCTTAGAAAAGTGCTCAAAAGATGTGAGGAGACAAACCTTGTACTCAATTGGAAAAAATGTCACTTAATGGTGGACGAGGGCATTGTCCTTGGCCACAAAAACTCCAAGCAAGGCATTGAGGTTTATCGAGCAAAGAATGAGATAATTTCCAAACTCCCTCCTCCTATTTCGGTAAAAGGTGTTCGGAGCTTTTTGGTTCATGCCGGTTTTTATCGGCGATTTATCAAGGACTTTTCGAAAATTGCTAATCCTATGTGTAAGCTTCTTTAAAAGAATGCTAAATTTGAATTTTATGAGAAGTTCCTAAAAGCTTTTGAGGAATTGAAAGCAAGTCTTACCACATCACCTATTATTGTCACACCTGATTGGTCCCTTCCATTTGAACTCATGTGTGACGCCATTGGTGTGGCTATTGGAGTAGTGCTTGGTCAATGACATAACTAAATTCTTCATGTTGTCTATTATGCAAGCAAGACACTCAATGGCTCCCAAATAAATTACATAGTAACTGAGCAAGAACGGCTTGCTATTGTCTATGATTTCGAGAAATTTCGAGCCTATTGTTAGGATCCAAAGTGATAGTCTACACCGATCATGCTGCTCTCCGCTATTTTATGGCGAAGAAGGATGCTAAACCAAGATTGATTAGGTGGGTTCTCTTGTTACAAGAATTTGACTTTGAAGTCAAAGATCAGAAAGGAATAGAGAATCAAGTTGCGGATCACTTATCTAGGCTTGAAGAGGCAGGTAGACCGAAAAAATATCTTAAAATTAATGATGCCTTTTCGAATGAATACCATTTGATAATATCTAGCACCTCCACTCCTTGTTATGCTAATATCACTAAATTTATGGTTAGTGACCTTATCCCCAATGAATTGGAAGCTTATCAAAAGAAACTATTTTTGCATGAGTGCATGAAATACTATTGGGAGGAATCTTTTTGTTCCGAATTTGCACCGGCAACATTATAAGGAATTGTTCCGGAAGATAAGGTGATACAAATTCTCAAAGTACGTCAGGACTCCCTAATTGGGGGTCACCATGGTGGAAACCTTACTGCGGCAAAAGTGCTTAAATGTAGATATTATTGGCCATTGATCTACCAAGATGCAAATCAAATGGTCAAGGCATGTGACCAATGTCAAAGACAAGAGTCAATTTCTAAAAGGCATGAGATGCCTGTGAACTTTGTGATGGAGGTTGGGATCTTTGATGTGTGGGGGATAGATTGCATGTGCCCCTTCGTAAGCTCTAAAGGCATGACATATTCTTTGTGGCAGTAGATTATGTGTCCAAATCGGTCGAGGCAATTGCCTTGCCAAACAATGAGGCAAGAGGTGTAACCACCTTCTTGAAGAAGAACACATTTAATCATTTTGGAACCCCAAGGGCCATCCTTAGTGATGGCGGTTCTTACTTTTTCAACAAAGCTTTTGCCCGATTGCTCGAAAAATATGGAGTTAAGCATAAGGTGGCTAACGCTTATCATCCTTAGTCAAGCAGTCAAGTTGAAGTCTCCAATCGGGAGATCAAGAGCATTCTAGCAAAAACGATTAATGCAAATAGGACCGATTGGTCAAAGAAGCTAGATGATGCATTGTGGGCTTATCGAACGACATTTAAGACTCCCATTAGCACCTCACCTTACCGGTTGGTTTTTGGTAAGGCTTGTCACTTGCTAGTGGATCTTGAACACAAATCCATGTGGGCATTGAAAAAATTAAATCTTGACTGGGCTGAAGCTGCTAATATAAGGATGACACAACTCAACGAGATGGAAGAGTTCCGTTTCCATACCTATGAGAATGCAAACATGTATAAAGAAAGAATGAAGTTTGTTCATGACAAGAAGATTTTGAAACGGGAATTCATATCTGGGGACTTTGTCTTACTCTTCAACTCAAGATTGATGTTCTTTCCAGGCAAACTCAAATCCAAATGGTCTAGCCCATTAAGAGTTGTGAGTGTGTCTTCTTGTGGCGCTATATAATTAGAATCCGAGGACGGGACTCGAACTTTAAAAGTAAATGACCAAAGGGTCAAGCATTACTTTGGAACCCTTGCAGAAAGGCAACTGGTAGAACAATTCACACTCAAGGATGCTCATGTACCAATCCCTACCACTGATTAGTCAAATTGGGCGCAACATTATCATGCCACGATGTTAAATCAAGCACTTCTTGGGAGGCAAACCATGTGTTGGTAATATTTTTTTTGGTTAATCTTTGTAAGTCTTGATTAGTTTGACGCGTGTGTTAATATATAGGTTACACAAAATACAAAGAAATAGGATGCAAAGGGAGAGGTAAAATGAAGGGAAGCAAGCTGAGCTTCAGCTAGTGGTCTGCGACAGCATATGTGGCCGCATAACGGATTTGCGGACTGCATAATGGTCGCAGACACAATCAGAATACCAGCCAAATCGGGCCTTAAATATACAGAGACAATTTCACTTCTGCAGCCTGTATAATTATTCTATGACCGCAGAATGGGTCGAGGAACTATTGCATGTTCCACAGGTAACACATATGTGACCGCATAGTGTGGTTCACGATGATAATTGCACCGCAAAATGACCAGGTATAAA